CAGCAGCACTTTCTCGTGAGATGGGCGGTGTCTAAATTCGAAATACAAACAAACAAACAAACAAATTGTATGTATCAAGTCAGGGTAATAACTTGGGATAGAATTTCAGAATTTATTTTCAAGCTGAGTAATGTGCTATGGACACAAAGGGGGCATTTTTGAGTTCCAGTGTTTCGGATAGGGAAAGTCCATTGTTATTTGGTTGCAGGACCTCTTGGCTTAGGGGTTGTCATCCATGTATAATTGGATAGCACATGACCCCAACCCTGCCCCGCATTGCCGATTTAAGCAAACCTTCCCCAACCTGGAGCCCTCCTGATATGTTGAGCTTTAATTTTCATAATCTCCCCAGCAAAAACATTGGCCAGGGGATTATGGGAGTGAGAAGTTCAACATACCTGGAGAACACCAGACTGGGAAAGGTAGTTTAAATCAGGGATGGGCAATTCACAAGCCCATCAGTCCCCAGGCCCACATTTTGTGTACTTCAGAGCTCCCTCTGCCATATTTTAATGATTTTCGCAACCATCATTTAAGGTCTGTAGACTGCTGTGAAGTTGGTTTTGATTGCTTTCTATTGGGAGATTTCTGCCTGGCCCCACCCACTTCGTTTCATAGCTCAATCATATTCCTTGAAATCCTGGGTCAGAATAACAAGTCCAAATGCAATTTTCATCCACCTTTGCTCTAAGCAAACATTTTGTGCTTATCTGAAAGGAGCCCTAATTTGTCCGAAGCAGAAACAGATGAAAGACTGATGCTCCTTTCCCCCTTTTTGGATTTCTTCCTCCTCTGAGTTTTTAATTGATGCACTGCTAGTTACAGTTAAATTCCAAATCCCCAAATCATGTTATTAAAACATTGCCTGAAGAAGTGAGAATTGCACTTCTTTATGGAGACCAAGGGATTATCAGTGGTGTTGTTGATTTCTCTGCTCACCCTCAGAAATGACCTCAGGATCATTTGTGAGTCAATCAGGGTGTATTAATTCTGAACTATACAGTAGCACAGCAGAGCTCTTAAAGGAACCTGGGATGATGCATCAAGGAGCCAGTCTCGCTGAGGAATTTTGGGTTGCTCTTTTGCCCTTTAGATTTAATGTTCAGCATGTATTTCTTGTTTCTTCTTCTTCTTTCCTGGGATTTCCATGGGGCCCACTTCTGTATTTTCCAGGCAGTAGCAGCAGCAGTAGTTCAGACTCTCCATGTTCTGTCATAGAAAAACCTCTGGATAAAACCTTCACTAGTGAGTGGGAGCTCTTAAGTCATCCAGTGAAGCTTTGGCCTCTCCATAATCTGTGCACTCATTGTTTTGATGCTGCATTTTGCTCCTCTGTCCCTGATACATCAGTTTTGTTCAGAGTGAAATGTGGGTTTGCTCCTCACTAAATAAAGCATGCTTTTTCTTTTGCTGTTTCAAACTTGAATAAAAAACAACAACAACTGACTCTCCTTAGCTAAATAGCTCAAGAACGCAAAAAGAAATATTGGTATTGCTCATGCAGGCCAGACTCTTGGGTAATAGAACCGATTTTTAAAAAGGCATTGTTGGCATTCTCTGATGTGATACAATGATACTAAGCATAGAGAGCATTTTGGCAGATTTTTCTGTAGGTGTGTGCTTCGGAAAAGGAGCTAGATTGGATAATCTTTGATACGACTGACACCGAATGTCAACAGTAAATGACTTCAGACATCCAGTGCTCGGCTTACATAGGGGCCTCCCATTAGTTTCTGGAGCAGGGGTGTCAATAGGGCATGGTTAAAAAAAAAAGTTAAAATGGCAGCTTCCATCACATTATTGCAGCCACCGTTTTAACTGTTTTGACCACACCTCCAGACAGCTTATTGTGGAGGAAAAGACACCCATGTCTTGATCGTGCACATTTGCATGTCAGCTGTTTCCTGCTTACCAGAGTAAATGGGAGGTCTCTGCTTCAGCAGAGCTTTGCTGATAATGATCTGCTAGTTCCTGGCAGCAGACGAGATGGAACAAGTTCAGCAGATCTTTATTACGCATTTTCATTAATAGTTTGAAACAAACAGTCTTCCTCCACCCCACTCCCCCTGCTGCTGGCTTTTAATCACAGTGGAATGTTTTCATTGGGGAAACACATCACAGCCCATTGAATACTCTCCAGCTTGATATGATGAGTGGGATAGTGATGGCAGCTGCTTTTTGAAATCAGAACTATCTTTCCCATATAATGGCTTTTTCCCCTTCTGCATGCTGCATGTTTTCATGGCATTTCCCTCCTTTCTTTCTTTCTTTCTTTCTTTCTTTCTTTCTTTCTTTCTTTCTTTCTTTCTTTCTTTCTTTCTTTCTTTCTTTCTTTCTTTCTTTCTCTTCTTTTCCTTCTTTTTGTTAACACCTGTTAAAATGTGCCACTTTATCTCTAAGGAAACATCTGAGTTTTTAGAAAGAAACCTGTCTTTATTCAAATCAACAGTACAATCATATTAGAATCTGTTAATGATACAGTTGACTGGAAATTGTGATCAAATACCAAGAAAGCTTAACCGGGCATGTCTGATAATTGGCTATTTCAAATACCCCAGCCTTAGTCTAGGTAGTATATTATTTTCCTGGATGTTTCTCTGGGCACATTCTCTGAGATAAGGTTGTAGCTTGAACTGCAGAATTATCATAATACTGTTCAGATGAATAATGTTATGCTATAATAAGAAAGCTGAAGAGTAATTATATTCTTCAGATTCTTACTCTACTTCAGTTTTAAAATGGAACAACAATGGTGACATATAATCTTGCATTGTGGTGTTTTTCTTTTTCGTACATAGATGCAAATTTTGGAATGCCTTTATTACTCTTTTATTTTTTAAGAAAGAAATCAAACAATAATATGTTTCTTTTTTTCCTCTCCACCTCCTTCCTCTTTGTGCGCGTGCTGCCTCTCTGCGATTTGTTTGCCTCTTCCTCTTAAATGCAAGATCAAGCAGGTTGGTGTGTTCAATTTGCACTCCATCTAATAGAATTTAAAGAACTGTTTAAAGCTTGCCTAGCCTTTGTGCTCTGAAATCTCAGTGGATTCAATGGGCATGCAATTCTATTTAATATGTTTTGTTAATGGATCCAGTGCGGCTAAAACTGAAGTTGGGAGGGTTCACCATGTAGACAAGTTTGGGTAACATTGTCCAAATATAGATATGGGAGACAAGGCAGAGATTGTCCCTTTATAGCAATAGCTCAACTTTTGTTTCTTTTTACCTTACCAAGATTGTCATTCCAAATATTTCAGATTGTGGAGATGGGGGGCAAAGAGTAAAATGGGGCAAACAAAAATATGATCCTTCTCTTCCCCTCCTTCTGTTTCTACCCTTTGACCATATGACAAAGTCTGCTTTAGCTTAATAATTTTGCTTTTTTTCTTCTTCCAGCATTTTATTATTCTAACACTGTGCATCTGATTTTTAGTTTTAAAAAGTTAATCTCTCTAGGGTGTGTAGTTTTTTTAAATCAAAATCTATGTCACTTTAAATTAATGAACATATTTTTGGTTTGATAGTAGTGGGACATCTTACACAGCTGATCATTATAAATCTACCATTTATCCCCACTAGGAACCAATAAAAATGCATTTGATGCACGATTATGCCATGATCTCAGAATGGTTATTTCCTGACACTTGGATGATATACATTTCAGAAGTCCCTATGTTGCAGTGGCAATTACAAGCTTGTTACAAGTACAAATCTAATGCAAAATTTTATCAAGGTAACATTATAATGAGAGAATGCATATGCTTAATTAACCTTGCTTTTAAATCCCATAAAAGGAAAAAAGAAAGTTTCTCCTGACAAGATGATGGAGATGCAAGCCAGAATTGATGAAGAAAGGAAAGCACTTGAAACAAAACTTGATATGGAAGAGGAAGAAAGGAACAAAGCCCGTGCAGAACTTGAAAAAAGGGAGAAAGATTTGCTTAAAGCACAGTAAGCATTCTGAAATTTAAGAATACTTAATACTTAACATTCATATAATTTAGTGTTCTCCAGGCTGGTCCCTGCTGATCTGTTTGAAATCAACTCTGGTCAGCTCACTATCTTGGAAGGAGGATAAAAGTGGTTGAATAAAAGTATTTAAAGCACTTCACATGCATTATCTAAATGTAGTCCTTATAACAACTTATAAAGAAAGTTGGCATTATTATTTCTTTCATCCCTATTTATTGAAGTTCAGTGGAGTCATAGTAGAGACATTAGAGAAGTCACTATTATCCTTTGTTACAACAATTCCAGTGGTACAGGAGCATTAAACTAGAACACTTTTGAGTGAAAAGAACAAGAGTTTTCCCTATTGCAAATACAGCAGCACTGGGGTCCTGGTGGATCAAATGAATTGCTGAAAAGTAGGCCATGTTCAGCCTGTCCAAAGTTGAGAGAGCATTATGCCACCCTTAAAATCAACTTAAATATCCCTACCATAGTCTTAATTTACTTAAGGTTAGTAAATAAATGTAAGGAATTGTTTAGGACTTCTGGCATATACTGTATGGGCTGCTCCCTTACAGTTGGGATTTTTAGCTGTAGAATCCTGATTCATAGGAACGCAAAGTTTTTTTCCTTCTCTTTCTCTAGGCAAGAACATCAGTCTCTTTTAGAGAAGTTGTCAGCTTTGGAAAAAAAAGTGATTGTGGGAGGTGTGGATTTGTTGGCTAAAGCTGAGGAGCAAGAGAAGCTTCTGGAAGAATCTAACATGGAGTTGGAGGAACGAAGGAAAAGAGCAGAGCAACTCCGAAAAGAGCTTGAGGAGAAAGAGGTCCGCTTACTGTCTTTGCTGAACTATTGATTTCTTTTTCTCTAGACGCTCTCCCTGATACTGTTCTTCATCTACCTGGTCATATATGCAGGCAAGGCTAAGGCATAATTAAGGAGTAATAGCTGTATCTGCGTAGAGCATGATGATATCTAAAAGATTAGAGATGCAATTATTGGAAAGAGGGGAATATTGTCCAATGAAACCCTTTTACTTTCTACAACACTATTTTTTTGAGGGGATACGGTTGTAGTCCATAGAGCAGGGTAAACAACTAGCATACTTACCACCATCCGTTGAGAAAGAAGCAGAACCCCTTTATGACATCCTTGAAAGGGAACCAGCATTGGAACTTTTCTAGATCATGGGATTTAACTGAAGAAATGAAAAGAAATTCATGGGTTAATTATTAAAGGAGGCAGAGAAGGGAGCAGCCGGTCAAAATACAAGTGTGCAGTGATGCCATATCTGAGCTGCATACATTTGGGCAGGCACTAGCGGGCAGCAAAGACAAACAGAAAATGCTGTTTTCTCTAGTGGTCACCCAGAGTTTTGCAGTCCAGATGTGGTGAACAATGCTTCTCAGTTCAGAACTCAAGGAAGCAGTAAAGGAGACTGGAAAGTTGACAAGTGCGTGAAAGACTTTTTTCTTCCTTAGACTCTGTCCAAAAACGTAGCAAAAGGAAGAAAATACATCTTTAGAATCCAAGTAAATCTAAAGGAAAGCAGGGAAAATAGGCATATATTGACTGTGGCAAAAGTCCATCTTGCCTGCATTGAAGTTACAGTCCCAAGAGTTAATGCACTTGAACTAACAGGTCCCCTGAAATACCAGTCAGGGCATCAAATTCAGTTCTAGTTTCAGGAAGACAAAGCTAGTGAAAAAATAAAATAACAACTGGAAGGAAGGAGAAGTGGACATTTCCCTCTCACAGAAATGTCCGTCTTTCTCTCAAGCTTCTTCCTTGATAAAACCAGATGCTTAACTCTATGTGGATGTATCTTAATATTCATTGGAAAGCACCATACCTTTAAGATGAAATTGATAGGAAATATAGGAGACCGGATACTCTTTTTCCGCTTCAGCATAAGTAGAAGCTGGAAAATGTCTCATGCTAATTTGTCAGACTTTGCTAATTAAAGATAGCAACCTCTGGGTTAGCTTTGGTGAGTGGCTGAAATGCATGCCAAATGGCAACCCTGGTGACAACGTGTTACCACACTCTTTATTTTGTGAATCCTCCAAGTGCTTGTGTAAAATAATGTTCTTGTACTAGCACATCAGTTGGATAACGGTGGCCAATCTGTGGCATTTTTAATTATTTGAAAAATAGCAAGAGCGTTTGGACATTGAAGAAAAATATACCAGCCTGCAAGAGGAAGCTCAAGGGAAGACGAAGAAGCTGAAAAAAGTTTGGACCATGCTAATGGCAGCCAAGTCGGAGGTCAGTATTATAAATAGTGGAAGGTCTGGTTTACGGATAAAGTTACAGCTCATCAGCATAGAGACATGATTCTTGTAAGAGGGAGAAGACCATTGCTCAGTGGTCAAGTAAGAAGAAACTAAAGGGGAAAATGCTAGTTGGTATCTGGATGTGGATGTTCTCTGAGGTTGTTCAGAAGAGCCAGATTAGCTATCGAAGCAAACATGCCTGCTGCATCTATGAGCATATAGGAACAAGGTTTGCTTGAATTATTTACACTTGAGAAAGAGTTTGCTGATACATCTAAACAGCTTATTACGAGAAAGAGTGGTCTGATCACCATAACGGGGATGGTCATAGAATTCTTTTTCAAGAAATCTGCTCTGAATTCAGATGATGAAGCACATCTTTTCTCCTGGGCAAGGCTCTTGAATGACTAGTGGTCATACATCTCAAAAGGACTAATGATTACTTTGAGAGACAGAGATACACAGAGAGAGAGGCAATTTTGAAATGGCAAATGCTAAAACAGTGCAGCATTAGTCTTACAAGCATAAGCCTCATATTAAGCATATTTTATTTATATTTATATAGCAAATTTGTCACCACCCATCTCACTGAAAAGTGACTCTGGGTGGTTTACAGAGGAGATAAAATCAATTAAAATATAATATAAAAACAATCTTAAAAATAATAAATAAATTCCAAGAATTATGGGATTGGTGAATAACTCAGGGAGTGACATCAGGGCGCCAGCCACCCCCAGGATTGATTAAAATTCTTATTGCCCCATGCAGGTTGGCAGAGCCAGGTCTTAAATCCCTTCTGGAAAACCAGGAAGATAGGGGCCCACTGCACCTCTGGGGGGAGAGTATTCCAAAGGGTGGGGCAACAGCAGAGAAGGCTCTCCTACTGGGCCCCGCCAGGCAGCATTCTCTCACTGACGGGGTCCACAACATGCCCTTTCTGCCTGACTGGGGGGGATGGGTTGATGTAATAAGGGTGAGGGTCCCTCAGGTAACCTGGACCCATGCCACGTAGGGCTAACCAACACCTTGAATTGGGCC